AATTCACTTTAACAAGATTTCCTCCATTTGCATCCATTCCCCATCAAATGCCATAATTTGAGTCTTCTTTATGCCTTCTTTATACACATATATATGTGTATATATACCACATTTTCTTGGTCCATTCACCTGTTGATGGGTATCTAGGTTGATTCCATGATTTGGCTATTGTGAATTGTGCTGCTATAAACATTGAAGTGGCTCTATCACTATATATGCTGATTTTAGTTCTTTTAAATTGAAGAGTTGGATAGCTGGTCACATGGTGGTTCCATTCCTAATTTCTTGAGGAGTCTCTACATTGCTTTCTATAGTGGTTGAAGAGAGAGACTCTATAGCCAAGAGTTTTCCTAAACCTCTGATCATATATTAATTGTGTGGCCACCAATCTGGCTTTGCTTAATAGTGTTGTATGTTTTAATTAAGGAGGAGGAGAAGGAGGAGGAGGAGGAGGAGGAGGAGGAGGAGGAGGAGGAGGAGGAGGAGGAATTATTATTATTATTTCTCTGTCTACAACAATCTCCATACCATTGGTTAAAACCAGTGTGCATTCTGATTGAGGGCAGAGTTCTTTCTCTGAATAAACTGCTTCCTCTAAAGAAATTGACCTGGTGGCATAGCACTGGCCAGTGAGTCAGAAAACCTAGCCTCTGCCCTGTGCAACACCATTTCCTAACTATGTACCTTTGGGCAAGCCACTTAACCTCTCTGAGGATCTACTTCCTAAACCCAAAATAATTTCTCCTCTGTATCCTTACAAGTGGTTATTTTGAAGAATAAGTGAGATAATAAAATGAGAACTGGCCTTGAGATCTGTAAAACATACAACATTAATAGTGAAGGATGAGCACATAATATATTAACACATAGCATATTTCCATATTGTTGGCAATATGGAAGGAAATGGCTCTTGGTCAAAGCCAATTTTAGAAACCTGCATTTTTGCAAAAGGAAGAGTCAGCTTTCATAACAACAATGTCGCTGGTACAGGGTGGGCACCATCAGAAAACAGTGTGGAGATAGTCCAGCAGGTGTCAGCAGAGAACCAACTTTCCTTACTCCAGTGCTCACTTGGGAGGGAGGCTGTGCTCAGGCCTGGTGCACTGGGACAGAACTGACAAGATTCTGCCGTGCATTCCAAGGCTATCCTAATTCTGGTGTGGTGTGAGTGGGCACATTGGATCCACTGAAATAGGGACAACCTTTGGACTTTATCTACAAAGTCCTTCTCATTGACTCCAGGATCCTTAATCCTCAGAAGATCTCTCCCCATTCTGGTCTTCTGTTCTGAGTTGAGTCCCTCCTCTGCCCTCAGACCTGTGCTCCAGCTTGGAAAACTTGTCTCAATTCTCTTTGCTTTATTTGTTTAGAGAAGTATTGTTTTGGGAGTAACTTTCATCTCTCCCTCTGAAATCTGGGGTTGTTTTGAATATATATATTTTTAAACCTGGAGTTAGTTCAGGCAACAAATCCAACTTCTCCAAAGTATATGGCTAATGCATTGGGAGCAGGAAAGCAGTTTCCAGCAACCAAATAGTAGCCTATGGAATAAAGTATTCAATTTTGTACATGCTATAGATGATCTTTCATATTTTATCTTGTGGGAATATGAAATTATCACAAATACATGTGCACTTACGTTATAATGTGCCATGTCACAATAGATCTGTTGTAGGTACTTTAAAGTCTTGAGGAAAAGAGTAGAGGCCTAGAAAAATAGAAAAATCCAAACAGTGTGTGTGTGTGTGTGTGTGTGTGTGTGTGTGTGTGGTGTTTATTGCAGGTCCCTAGAATTCTAAATCCTAGTATCTAGAACCCACAAAGAACACAAATCCTGTATCCACCACTAAATGTCAATGAAGGGCCCAGTGGTCTATAAATCTTCAGCTGACAGAATGACAGGCAAAATGTACACAGATTCCTACATGCTACAAATCTCTGAGATTCTTAAATAGCCAAGTAAGCTGTGTTTCCTTTTCCTTTTCTTTTTGACTGGGAATATTTACTTCCATCTCTTTTTTTGAAACAAGTAGGCTCCATATTTTAAGTAATATTTAAATTTAAGGTGGGGTGGTAATCCAAGTGTACAGAGCAACCACCTTGCAAGAAAACATTTTTAAAAAGCAGATGGCAGAGCTGGCCAGTTTAAACCCATCCAGAATTACCTTGCACTCCTGTAATAAACAAAATCCAGCATTCACTTTCATTGATTTTTTTTTTTTTTTTTATGTTCCTGGGGCTAGGACAAAAAAAAAAAAAATTTGCACTGGTGATTTAAGTATGAAGGCTCTGAAGACCAGGGAGAATCAATGGATGATGAGACCCATGGCTTGCCTAACTTATTGCATAAGCCCCTGATTCAGGTCTCTGCCTTTCATTTCTAAATCCCTGTAAACCATGTTGTTAAATTACAAACGGGACCTTCTTTGACTTTGTCCATTTCAGTACAAAATAGTCTTTGGCTCTGTCTACCCAGGAGGAGAAAAGAGGAAAGCTGCAAGTTTAGAGACAACAGTCAGAAATGATCAGAAATCCTCGCTAAAATGCGACATCTTAAAAAAAAAAAATGCGGCCCCATGTGGGTTCAGGCTGCATGGACCAAGTTCAAGTTAAGTGGGTTTAACCGGGCCCTTTTCTTTTCCTCGCAGTTACCAGGCCCCGGGGAGCCTTTGCCTCTCTACCCCTCTCAAATAGATCTGGGCCAGTTCATTTTGCCACAGCCCGGAGCCGCTCGGAAAGCAAAGATTAAAGGGGAAAGTCGCGGCTGTATATTTATATTTTCATTGCTAGAAGGGAATTGATTTCCGCGCATTTATTTTGGTAGTTGTAATACACAAGGGCGGATTTGCGTCACCCGAGCAACTTGCCGGTGGAGATAAAGTTGCACAAATATTGAAAGGGGAAGTGCTAGGAGTCATTATAGAGTTTTTCTCCGGAAGAAATAAGGATTTCTGCAGTATCCTAAAATACTAAGGCTGCTTCTATTTTGAGACCAATCTCGCAGGCACATCCGCTCATTTAGTCCGAGTTTGAGCCCATCAAAAAACAGGAGATGACCTGAACTCAGGCGAGTCCTGGGCTTCCTGCTGCTTTCTTGGTTCGGAGGGGTAGGGAACAGGCAAGAGGAAAGAATCTAAGGGCTCAGACCTGGGCGAGAGGCCTATCCGGGCGAGGCTTGGGATTGGGGAATGGGTGGTGGGGATCGCCCCCAAGCTTCCTTTTCGCCTTTGCCTCTGGGAGCTCGTGGTAGGCCCTGGGTGGCGCTGATGCGGTTGTAGTGAGGCGGAAGGCCTGGGAGAGCAGAGAGGCGCACGGGCGAAGTTGCAATTTGCTACACTGCAGCGGACCTTGCAGAGAAAGAGGCGCGCGGCGGGACGAGGAGTCGGTCGGGAAACCAGCCCTCCCGTCCTCTCTTTTGCGGCGTTTGCCAGCGCTTCAAGTCTAGAAGCAGGGCTTTTGCGGGTCATGGACCGCGCAGGGAACATGAGGGCGTGTGTTTTCCCGAGTCTGCATCCCGAGCTCGCCCCGGGAGGGTTTCAAGATTTGGAAAGTGTGAAAAGGGGCGGGGAGTCTTACTTCAAGACGAGGAGGTGAAGGTATGGTGCCGCTTGGGGTAAAACATAAATGGATTTCTTTTAGAAAAGCTCAAAGTTTGGGCTTAGGCCACGGTGTGAAAATTTACAGTCACACTGGAAGAGCAACCGAATTGGAAGTGGCACTAGAAAAGAGAGGAGAGGGCTCAGGGCCACCCCTACATACATTGGCTAGTGACTTTCCCTGGGACCTGTGAAACTGCAGAAAAGCTCTCCTCCTAACTAGAGCACACCAGAACCCTTGGCCAAGGCCTCCAACGGCCTAAGTACTAGTTACTTCTTTACCCCCCGCCAGACAGGACTTTTTGGCTCTCTCGCTTCAGCTGCCACTGCCCTCAACTGACCACACTCCTCCTTTGTGGAAATATCACCTCGGACCTCTCTGTGAAACAGCAGGGCAAGAAGAGAGTGAAGAGGGGAGGGGAGACGAAGAAAAAGTGAAAGAAATATGAAATGAATGTTAGTATGTTAGATAGCAAGTGACTAGTTATTGATTACTTTTCAGGAGAAAGTCTAAAGCTTGAAGTGACAGCCTCTGTGAAAGGGGTAGAAGCTACTAGAAATTAATGACCACGCAAATTCTGAATTTGAGATAGGAATGGCAAGTTCACTTGTATTTGGGGCTTCATTTTGTGTTTTAAAGAAAATAAAAATGCCAAAGGACCTTTGTTAAGAGATGTTTATTAGGACAATCGAAAACAAAAGATTTCGTGGTTTCATTATTGTTATTATTTTATTTTCTTCCTGAAAATGTGCAAGAACAGCTCATCTGGGTGGCCTGTGGTTTGTTTGGGAGAGGGGTGGGGAAATCCATTCTGACTATAATTTAAACGAGAACGAATTCTTAAAATAGAGATGTTGATGTTGCAGAAACCCTCCCCCTACTTCTACCACCCTGCGTTCTAAGACCCAAAGCGCGAATCAAAGGCGTTGGCCACCACTGCAGCTCCTCCTGCGACCAGGCTAAAGGGGATCTTGGGAGAAACTGTCCCTGAATTGAAAGTAGAATTTAACCCCTAGGAAATCTGCTCTGGAGGGCACTTGCAAAACAACACACCCCACGTGACCCGAGGATGTGGCGGTGAAGGGAGGGTGGCATTTCCTACAAGGTACAGCAGAGGAGGGGACGTGCTTGCTGTACTCCCGGGTTTCGGAGGTCGGCTGTTGTCTCAGGCTCCGGGGAAGCTTTGGCTGTGTCTAAGGGAGTCATTCGGAGCCATCCATCTTATTTTGTTTGAAAAGTCACTAGTTCAGGTTGTCATTAGTGTGACAGTTCAAAATAAAACTAATTCGCGGCCTCCCCTCCTCCTGGTTTCTCTGAGGACTCCCCGGAGGCAGCGAGGCGGACACTTTGGTGAGTTGGGCCGAGACTCAGAGCCGCAGCATCCAGGCAGAGGCCCAGGAAAGATGGCTGTTGGGATAAAAACTAAGTGAAGGAAAAAAATCCGAGAAGAGTGAGAAAAAAAAAGGGGGGGGGGGATCCAAGGGACCGCCAGTTCTCTCAGTTCTCCACCGGGAGACACGCTGTGCACCGGATAAAGTGCAGGAGAACCAGCTCTCCCCCTTCTGGGCAGGCGGTCGAGCGCTCCAGTTATTAACTCTCCTCGCCCGGTGGCGGTCAGGGCTGCAGAAGTTAAAATTAGTTGCCGCTGGAGCCGCCGCCCAGCCTCTACGCAGCTGAGGGACTAGCAGGACCCTGCTCAGCCCACGCGGCCGCAGAAAACACTTTGGCGTGGCCGGGGGCGTGGCTGAGGTCTGGCCACGCCCCCTCTTTCCCAATTCCCTTCCACGCCTGTATCCCATTGGTTACGGGGATAGCCAATGAGCTCTTGGATCGAGGTCCTACCCCGGGTCTGACTCGAAAGCTCCTGCCAAAACTTGGGGAGTTTTTAGAGAGGAGATTTTTTTTGTTGTTCCCCCCCCCCCTCTTAATACTTTTTTTTTTTTAAACTAACGGATTATTTTTGTTGTTTTAAATTTAGCTCTTAGGCTTAGCTGTTCGGGTTTTTCTTTCGGTCACCGGCCCCTGTCTCCCGGCTTCTCCCGCGTGTACGGAGCCGCGGTCCCCTCCCGCCTAGTAGTGGCTCCAGCGCTCAGTGTTCGCCTCTGTCCCGCGAGGAGCGCCGGCGCCGCGCCGTCTTTGACATAAGACCAGGGGCCGAGACGGTGACCGGCCAAAATCTGGCCCCCGCCTCCTCCGTCCGAGGCGCTAGGGCTCCCGGCCTCTCTTCTTCAGGGCGGGCGGAGAAGCGAAAGCGGATCGTCCTCCCCGGGGCCGCCGCCCCTCCCCGCGCACCCACCCATTCACCCACTCACTGGGTCAGGCCCGACCGCGGCCGCCGCGCGGCTCACCCGGCTAGTATGTTCGCGGCCGGGCTGGCTCCGTTTTATGCCTCCAATTTTAGCCTCTGGTCGGCCGCCTACTGCTCCTCGGCCGGCCCGGGTGGCTGCTCCTTCCCCCTGGACCCTGCCGCTGTCAAGAAACCCTCCTTCTGCATCGCAGACATCCTACACGCCGGCGTGGGGGATCCAGGGACGGCTCCAGAGGGACTGGTGGGGGCTTCAGCTGCCGCCCTAACCGCGCACTTGGGCTCGGTTCACCCGCACGCCTCCTTTCAAGCTGCCGCCAGATCCCCGCTCCGTCCCACCCCGGTGGTGGCGCCCTCCGAAGTCCCGGCTGGCTTCCCGCAGAGGCTGTCTCCACTTTCAGCTGCCTACCACCACCATCACCCACAGCAGCAGCAGCAGCAACAACAACCTCAGCAACAACCTCAGCAACAGCCGCAACAGCAACAGCCCGCACCTCCGACCCGGGCCGGCTCCTTGCAGACCTCGGCCTCGGGGACCCGTGTGATCCCGCACCATAGTGGCTCGACACCGGCTCCCTCCAGCAAAGACCTCAAATTTGGAATTGACCGTATTTTGTCTGCAGAATTTGACCCAAAAGTCAAAGAAGGCAACACGCTGAGAGGTAGGTCTTTGGTGGAAGACTTCAGGCCTCGATGATCACTCCCAAGGCCTCAGGCGGGTTTTGGAGGAGGTGTGGTTCAGTGTGTTTATAATTAAGGACAACTCAGTAAAATAGGGGAGAAGAAAACGAATCATAAGAAAATTACAGAATATTAAGTCTAAAATTCACCTACTCTCTGATTTAAAAAAATATGCCTGGGATGCTTCAAAATCACAAGATACAGAATGAATATTCATATAACGGTCAGTGTAAATGTTTGCAAAAATTACTATACTTTGTCTTATGAACCATATTTAGAGAGAGAACTATATATTTTTTTTTCTGTCTAGGAGAGCCTTGTTGGGGAACAGCTTTCCTTTCCATTTATCTGATTTTATCCCCAGCAACACACACACACACACACACACACACACACACACTAATTCATTTATCTGATTTCTCGTAATATTCTACCCAAAAATGTAGATAAATAAAATTGACCCTTGAGGGTAGACAGCTGAGTGGGGATGGAGATTTGGGGTCTGTAAAATTTCTGGAAGTCTCCTGAAAGTGACTTCCTTAAGGCTGTTTTCATGGAAAGCCATATATGTGGGTGTGGACATGAGGGACACACAGTAACATTCCCAGCATTGCTCTTTGGGGACTGTGGTGGGGAGGGAAGGTTTCCTCATGGAGAGAGGGGTCTCTCTGGACTTGCTCCTGTGAATCCAGGGAGTGGGGAAGAACAGGAACAAATCTCTGAAGAGTGTGCATTTGCCTATGTAACCAACTATTTTCCTTGTTCCCAGATCTCACATCCCTGCTAACTGGTGGACGACCTGCAGGAGTGCACCTTCCAGGCCTGCAACCCTCCGCTGGCCAGTTCTTCGCATCCCTAGATCCTATTAATGAGGCTTCTGCCATCCTCAGTCCCTTAAGCTCCAACCCAAGAAATTCAGTTCAGCATCAATTCCAAGACACATTTCCAGGTACGGAAAACATTCGAATTATGGCCCAAGCGCAGGACATATGACTGTCAGAAATCTCAGGACTGATTCCTCAAGCGACAGACACAGTGTTGCAATTCTTTTTGGGGTGGGAGAGGCTACCAAGTCTGGAGAAAGAAATGAGGAAGATTTCTCCTCAAGCTAGAGCTAGCACTTGCTTCAGACAGCTGAGAGTGGAAGAGAATGGAGGGAAAGGGGATGGGGGGGGGCAAAAAGGTGTGTGCAATGGCGGGTCACTGGGTGGGGGTTTTTCCCTAGTTTTTTTTTGAAGGATAGAGAGATTTGTGAATGAAGCCTCAAAAGACGTTGCTTATTAAAATACACACATTTGGGGGGGGGGGTAACTTCAAACACTCCTGCTTTTAAGAGGTTTTGAATGTGGGCACATGAGGGAGTACATACACAAAGTAAAATTTAGGGGTGTCATCACTAAATCTTTGATGTCTCAGGGATGTTTTAATCTACTCTTTGCATGCCCAAATATTAGGACTATTTTTTTCTTGGAGTTGATTGACAAGCTACTTGGCTTTCCCACTCCACCCTTGCTTTAAGCTTTCTGACTATCATTCTAAGAGCTGTGAAATTCCTCCTTAGGAAAGGCCATTCAGTGTGTGTGGAGCCAACTGTTAATACAAAACACTTTTAAGCAGCCCAGTGAGACAGGCCTGCAATTGTCTCTCTTCCCTCTCTTACCTTCTGCTCCGACTCCGACTCCGTGGTAGGTCCCTATGCTGTGCTCACGAAGGACACCATGCCACAGACATACAAGAGGAAGCGTTCTTGGTCGCGTGCAGTCTTTTCCAACCTGCAGAGGAAAGGCCTGGAGAAAAGGTTTGAGATCCAGAAGTACGTGACCAAGCCAGACCGAAAGCAGCTGGCAGCAATGTTGGGCCTCACAGATGCACAGGTAAGTCAGCCAGGGATCCAGCACATAGTGCCCTACCGGGTGGGCGGGCAGCAGCGGGTGTCCTAACTCCTCAGTCCCCCTCAGTCCCCACCGACTCACCTTTTGAAATCAAAACACAGTGTCTTGAATTAAAGGAGGTTTGGTGAACTTTAAAATTGAGGCAGGAGGAGAGGAGGGTGGGGTAGGGGTGAGGGAGAACTAGGAGGAGAATTGTTCATCCCCGAAGATGTCAACAAGCAGTATGTGTTTATTTTGGCCAACAGGCAAAAGAACCACTGAGAAAGCAAATAGACTGCGGGAGATGATAATTATGTACTCAACTGGAGTGCAGTTCGCTATAGGAGGCAGTTTATTTCAGAAGAGATAAAAGCCCAAAGTCAAGAGATTGTTGTTGTTGTTGTTTTTAATTTAATTTTATTTTTCTTCTGCCCTTCCTCCTCCTCTGCTGCTACTGGATTGTGAAATCCCTAGTTATGAGGAAGTGAAAATATCATTTCAAACGGAATTACTTAGCTCCACTAGGGTCCGCTTAGAGTGGCCACAGGTCCAAGTTCTAACGGCTTTGGCTCTGTAGGATATCTCTGTGGTGGGGGCTGGGGTGTCTAGAAAGAAAGGTTTTCTTAAAATGCCCAAGAGAATTTCAGCAGGTTCTACCTACTTGAATTTTTTTCCCCCAAGACAATAAGAAACCTATTGTACCTGAATTAATTTTCTTTTTCTTCGATTCAAGTCCTTTCCTTTCCTTTCTTCTCTTCTTCTTTTAGCTTTGACTTCAGAAGAGACACCTCATTCCACCTATCTCAGCAGTAGCTTCTGTCACCAGCAGGGCAGAAGCCAAAGTTAGCCTTCTTTTTCTTAGATCCCTGATGGTCCCCTGACTTATCTCTGTATCTTTCTGTTCTCCATTACACAACTCGGCTCCCCAGTGTGCGTGGCTTGTGCATGCATTCCCCCCACCCCTTACACACACACTGGAGGAGCCCAGCCATTTTTCCACCAGCTGTGGATGTTATTTTTAAAAGGGAAGCTGGAACTTGTGTGGACGGGTTGGGTCCCCCAGGGAATCATATATTTATATAGATTCTCTGCTCCATCTTTTACCCTCTTCTTCCATTTTGCTCACGTTAATTCCAGCATTTTCTGATCTCCAAGAAAGATTAGTTTATCCCTGTCAGAGGCAGGGTTCTTATCAACTCTGGAGTAAAAATATGCCAAAAAAAAAAAAAAATCTCTTTTATTCAAAGCCTGGCAATACCCCTACTCGGCTAGGATTAACTCTTTGCACCTCTTTTCTCATTTGCATCCCACTTTTATTCTTTAAAATAATAGCTTTCGCAGTGGCTTGCTTTGGATCATGATAGTACAGGATAGGACCTTGTGGAGAGAAAAATTTTAACATTGTCTCACCAAAAACTTGAGATTCTGTGTATCATCATGGGAACATACCCCTTTTTCTGGGTCAGCAGTCCACAACTTTAATCAGGTTCTTACAGGAGTCCTGACTCAAGTGAGGTCAAGAAACAGGGATTTAGAGTAGAGAGCTTTAGTAGGTTTAGGGCCAGTTGCAGGAATCTGCCTTTTCAACAAACTATCTAGGTCATTTCAAATCTGAGGTCTGGGGGCCACATTTTGAGAATGGACCTAGTGGGTTCAGTGGTCCAGGATCCCTAGGCTCATTTTAGTCCTTAGCTGCCTCTGGGTCCCTTGTGCTTATATGGGATTTTGGTAACTGCACCTAGTAAGGTGCTTTTACTCTTAGAAGGTGACTGGCAGGTGCAAGAGAGTCAGCCTGTTATTCATCTTGACTCCCTGTCCCGCTCAGGTGAAGGTGTGGTTCCAGAACCGGCGAATGAAGTGGCGCCACTCCAAGGAGGCCCAAGCACAGAAGGATAAGGACAAGGAGGCCGGCGAGAAGCCTCCAGGCGGAGCCCCGGCTGCCGAGGGCGAACAGGAGGAGAGGAGCCCCAGTCGCTCAGAGGGCGAGGCCGAGAGCGAGAGCAGCGACTCCGAGTCTCTGGACATGGTCCCCAGCGACACCGAGCGGACTGAGGGGGCTGAGCGATCTCTTCACCAAACAACTGTTATCAAGGCCTCGGCCGCTGGCACCCTCATCGCGGCCAGCAGCGGTGGGAGTGGAGGAGGTAGCGGCGGCAGCAGTTTCAACTTCGGCAGCGCTAGCAGCCTCAGTAGCACCAGCACCAGCACGGGGAGCGCAAGCAGTCTTGGCAGCGGGGGCAGTAGCACCTCGGAGCTGCTCCCTGCACCCCAACCCACAGTTAGCGGTGCTCCCAAAAGCCCGGAGCCTCCCCAGGTCCCGCTGGGCAGCTTATAGACTTCAGGAGGACTCAGGGGACTCTACGCCAGCCTCCTACATACGGGCTGGATTTTGTGTTGGCGTTGGGCTGGGGCCAGAGATGCAGCAAAGACTACTCTTCAGTGTTCACTCCATGCCCCTTGGTGCCCAGAGCTCAGAGCCCAGAGGCCATAAGTGTGTCCCCACCAAAGATTCCTATGGAACTCTTCTCTGGACATGTGCAGCCCACACTGTGAAGTGTTTGAACTGTTCCTGCTCGCCAGGGATCGTGGCATAAAGACATGCTGCACTTAAGAAGCCTTAAACTTGTAAATAAAATGTTTACCATGGTTTGTAAAAGGCCCTTGGCTTGCTGGGGTGATCTCCAAGGATCTTTAACCCAAATGTTAGGCCTGAACCAGGATCTTAGGTGGGGGGATGGGGCTTTTGGGGAAAAGAGGTTCAACCTGAGAGACATCTTGTTGCAGAGATCTGTCTCCGGAGTCAGAGGATTCACCTAATTCAGTGGGTAGGTAGCTGGTGCCAACCACCAGCTAACATGGGTTTGGTCACCCTTTGCATGGCCTGAGAGAAGAATAAAGAGCAGGCCCTAGAATCTGTTAGGCCTGTTCAGCAGATGGTGTCCTCATTCAGAGGCTGGTTGCAATGAGTGTGTATCCCTTGCTTTCCCTGTTCCACAGTGTGCAGGAGAAGTGGAGAAGGCTATGCTCCTGGCTATGCTTCTGTCAATTTAAGGCATGGCAGTACTCTTTAGGTGGCCACTCAGGGCCCTGGCAGGAATGTCAACTCTCCCAGTGCAAACTGCTCTTTGCTCAGGGATGGGGTAGAGGACACAGGGCAGGTCTGTAGTGTCTATTGGAGGAAAGGACAGGAATGCTACAGTAGTTAGGGCTGTAAGCCTGTGTCTGTGCTGGGTCCTGGTTTTAAAGATGCTAAAATAATTTACAGACAAAGAAGTGCCTTGTTAAAGGTTATGCAGAGCCCAAATCAGAATTTAGACTTCTTGGCTCACATTTTGTTAGTAATGAATCTATAAAATTGAACCCTATCACGCTTCGTACTATATTGCACAAAATCTTCCTTCTTATTCCTCTGGGGCAGGCACCCAATTGAGTTCTTTCTCTGCCTCATTTCTGCCCCAGCCTCCCTAGAGTTGAGACAGTTTCCCCACTCCACTGCAGCTACAAAATAGTAAACCTAAATCTATTTCACCTTGCTGCTGCTGGTAGGTACCGGTTTTTTTTTGTTTTGCCAAAGAAGGGGGGTCAAACCTTTTCCAAGACCTATTCTCTTCTACTTTCCTTCCCTGGAAATTTATGAAATGTTTAGAGATGAGCAAAAACAATCCTTTGAAAAAATTTGAAACAAAGAGATGGCCCTAAAAATTTTTTGGCACTGAAAGTTGAGGGAGATAACAAGGTCTCTCACAAATCCAGCATCCTGTCACAGGAACTGTATGTCCAGTACTTAGCAAGGGGGAGAGGTGCTGAGATCAGAGAGCCTAAAATGTGCTCCAGTCTCCAGGCCAAGTGAGAAGGTTCCCAGAAGCTCCAGGGGTCTTGCTTATCTTCTGCCCCATCTTGACTCATTCCCTGGAGCTCATTCCAGGACCTTTGTACTAGACCTATTGCCCACCCGGGTACAGAGAGCTGTGCCACAGATACAGCCTTCTCTCCCTAGGCTAAGCCAGATGCCTAAACTAATCTCAGAGCAGTAAGCACAGGGATGCAGGGCTGACAATTCTCTGTTCCAATCAACCTCCCAAGCCCCCAGATGGAGCTGAATTCCTGGAGGAAAGAGCCAAGTGTAAAGGGGGTTAGGAACAACCAGGGTTGTCAAGAATAGGGAAGAGTAAATTTACCCGACCTTGGACTAGCTATTCTAATTGTTCCACAAGAGTTTTTGGGCCAGCAGCAGCCTCCCAATCCTCATGGGCTTCAAGCACCCGGGGAGTAGAGGCTCTGGTACCTTAGCTATGGTATTCTCTCTTTACCTCAGTTTTGCCTTCATTATAGAGAAATGAATCTCTGACTCCCCAAATGTTGAAATTTTGGAACCGAACAAATCAAAGACCATTGAATTTTGAGGCATTTAAACCCAGTTTTGACGTTAAGGAGATGTGCATGGGGGCACATTTGTGTATATTAACTGGGGAGCAGAGCCCGGCTGGGGAGGAGAGACTGGGAGGGGTTAGGGCTTTATTGCAAACTGTACCCACCTCCACTGCTCGAAGTGCTCTTCAAGAGCTCTCTGCCATCAAAATCCCTGCCGCATTTCTTTTTCATTCAGGGTTTAGAAATTGAAGAAACTAATTACTCGGGGGAGGGTAATGGTGTGATTTCAAGTAGAATTTCGGCCCTACCTCCGCAAGGCTCCACCACACCAAAGGGCGCGGGGAAACTGGGATGGAGAGTAAGCCTGACGGCGGCGGGAGTTGGAAGGTCTGGAAGTTCCTTTAGTGCTTCCAGGAGCCCGCCCCCCCCCCCCCCCCCCCCCCACCCCCCCCCACCCCCCCCGCCCCC